CAACAGAAGTTAAGGTCCTGGTAGCACCATCCATTAACAGAGAACCAGTCAGTGATTTGTCAGCAGCTCTACAAGCTGAGAAACTACTCCCCTCCTCCCTCAAAATATTGAGAAATCTGCCTGAACCAGGAAGGCTCCAGATTTGCAGTAGATCAGTTTCTTGCGGGGGGCGGTTCCAGAATGATTCTGGTGAGATCGATACCAGCTCTGCAGACAGGCCCACTGCTAACTGCCAATTTGATAAAAACTGAAAGAACTGTTGATGCTGTAAATCAGGAGCAAAAACAAAGTTGCTGCAAAAGCTCAGCAGGTCTGGCAGCATCTGTGAAAGAAAAAACATAGTTAACGTTTCAGGTCTGAGGAAAGGTCACCGGACCCGAAACGTTAAGTATGTTTTCGCCTTCACAGATGCTGCCAGACCTGCTGACCTTTTCCAGTGACTTTGTTTTTGTGCCAGCAATTCGATTCTGCCTTTAAATCTTTTTTTTCTACAAATACTGCCTTTGTTTTTTCATTTCAGATTTCCAGCATCTACATACAGGTACTTTGCTTTTGACCCATTCATGTCAGTTGGATTAAATACTTCTCAGATTTATTCTTAATCAATAACATTATGTATATTTGTTGCAGGGAGATTCTGGTGGGCCATTAATATGTATGATGAAGAACAAGACGATTGAGTACAAGGGTATTGTTTCAGCTGATGCTGACTGTGGAGTACCCACCAAACCTGGCATATATACACGTTTATCCAAGAAATACCTTGATTGGATCAAGAAACTTATCAGAATTAAAAGCCATAACATGACAAAGGATCAAACGTATGGATAACTTTCAATGCTTTTCCTGAACAGCTGCTTCCTTTGAATGTATTTTGTATGATTTGTTGCAGATGAATTACAAAAATTGCACTGGAGAGTGCTTCAGAACAGTTGATATGTATTTTGAATAATTAAACCATTGTAGTCTGCCAATTTTGATGATTTTTGGTATAGCCTGTTTATTACAGTGGAGAATTACTGCTCATTCTACCTGATATAACTATAGGGTAACAGGAACACTGGACCATAGGAACAGGAATCCATTGAGCCTGCCTTGCAGTTTAATACCATCATGGCGTATTGAACTGTTTAATGGCTTTTACCCACACTATCCTCATAATCCTTTACATCACAGATTTCTGATTATCAATCAATCACTACATGAAGCATACTCAAAGACTGGGCTTCCACAGAATTCAGGGCAGAGAATTCAAAAGATTCATAATCCTCAAAATGTTTAAAAGACTGTTAACTCAGAAAGACTTTTACTACAGTTGTTCTAATAGAGGTTAATGTGCAATGATGGTGTAGTCAAAGCATCTCACGTTCAATAACACCACATTGGATATGTTACTGCATGACGATTAACAGAGGAGGGTCACTCTGTATAGTTCCAAAGATGATCCACCTATAAAATGCCACATGCAAACTGGATAGAGGTAATTGTTTCAATGAACCACAGCACTTTGGAGAATTTGGTAGAAAATGAGAAATTCAACGGTATCAGATGGAATGTGAAGGAAAGTCTACTCTTTTTTCTACAAATAAAGGACCCGATAAATGCTCATTTATCACAAATTGAAAAAATAATCTCAAGCAATACTTTGCAGGCCATCAAAAACACATCTAAAGCTTTAAGAGTCAGTAATTAGGAGACTGGCACTGCTCAATGAGAATGGAAGTGAAAAGGTAGACCATGTTGACTAGAGCATTAGTCATCACTTTGATCTATATGTAAGCAGCCCATTGTCTAATAGTGTTAGCAGGTGATGAGCCATCAGTGTGGAAGGATAATGGTCTCCTCGATTATTGGCACAGCCACTTCCAATGGGCAAATTGAATTGCCCTCATAAATTTTTCATAAATGTTACAAATATGTGTCAAAAAAAATATATTTATAAGGTACCAAGCAAAAAATACCTGGTATTTCTCTTGATTCCATTCCAAATAGGTGTTGAAGTCTAAAAGAGTAAACTCAGTACAAGTCATGCCGATACAAGAGCAAAATACTGCAAAAGCTGGAAATCTAAAATAAAATGAAATGTGCTGGAAATACACAGCATTTCTCCAAAGCGCCTATGGAAAGTAACAGAGTTAACATTTCAGGTCAAGATGATGGGTGGAATTTTCCCCTGCCTTGAGTAGCGTGGATGATGGCAGGAAAGTTGGGAAAATACAGCAAAAATGGAAAATCAGACCCTCTATATCAAGAAAAAGATTCCCAATTTTCGCTTTAAGATGTAAATGGCAAGTTCAGGATCTCACAAATCATATAACCTCAGCAATGTGGAAACAGGCCCTTTGGCCCAACAAGCCCTCACTGACACACAGAGCATCCCACCCAGACCTATCCCCCAATCTACACATCCCTGAACACTACTAGCAATTTAGCATGGCCAATCCACCTAGCCTCCACTTGTTTGGACTGTGGGAGGAAACTGGAGCACCTAGAGGAAACCCACGCAGACATGGGGAGAATGTGCAAACTCCATACAGACTGTCACCTGAGGGTAGAATTGAACCCAGGTCCCTAGCACTGTGAGGTAGCAGTGCTAATCACTTAGCCACCATTCTGCCTGAGTAGCAGCTAACTTATTTCCATATATTTACACCTCATTATTAAATTCAATTCATTTCTTTGCTGAAAATTCTCCTCTTGATCCCTGAAAACTAAAGTGCCAATTCCCAATGTGAAAGTCAGAGTGGTTACCTGGAGGCGGCCCCTCACCAACTGCTTCCATGGGCCTTTAGTTAACTCTGTTTTCACCATAAGCTCCCTGCATGCTCAGTCGACAAACTCCTCATCCACCCTTTGACCATGCAAGTGGGTATTGCCAAACCACCAGCCTTACTAGATCATCATGGCTGCTTACAGACAAATTCACACAACACTTCAGCCCTTCAGGATTTCACTTTGAAGCTCAGTGGCACTTATGATTTGTTTGCTTCTGTTGGGTCATTTTGCACACAGGGACACACAAGCATCTCATGAATTCACACAGGATGGATCTTCTGGCTCATTTTCTTCACACTCACTAATTTTGCACTTCCTTCAAGGCTGCCAGCCTCTTTGGCTTGCATCTCTTTTTAATGTACTGGAACAGGCAGCAGATTTCTATAGTTTCGAGCGTTGAACTGTCAAGGGAGCAGAGATTTTGCTCATCGGCACCTTTGCTACAACACTATCATCGCACCGACCTCTTCTGCCAGCAGCTAATCAGCAAATGTACTATATGAGCTTCAACCTAATGCCCATGCCCGAAAGTGAAAAGGGACCAGTCCTTACTGGGGTAAAGGGGGAATGTCGTCAGTCAGAGACAACCATCGCAGTCAGTCATTGGCTTCATTCTATTCCAGTCCAGGAGTTTGGCCACTGTCAGTCCTGCAGGTCAGGTGTAACCAGTCCAATTATGTGCAATATGACATGTAATAGTGAGTTATAGTTCATGAGCCTTGGTGAGAGCCTTCTGTGGTGAGAGACTTAGAGTGTGTGATGGCCCGATGTGTGCGAGGTAGATAGCCATGCTTTCCCTTGCAGAGCACAGAAGATCATTGATTTTCTTCCTGCACTGCTGTGCATTGCATTACACCCAGGGTAATGCACTGACCCAAGCTACTATCTCAGGCCAGGCTGGCTGAAACTGGCGGTATGTCACCAGAGATGAAGAATGGAAGACTGCATGAGAAAAATCGACATGGGCAATAGTGAACAGTTGTCATGAAACATTTCTCAGAAAAACGTAGTCAAAAAATGGGAAAATTCAGGGCATGACTCCATGATTTCCTTTGTCCACAAATTCTTCTGAATTGCCCTAGGTGTTTATTTGAATACTCTGGCAAGTTTTTCACACAAAGGGTGTTGAGTGTCTGGAAGGCATTGCCAGAGGAGGTGGTGGAAGCAGACACAATAGTAGCATTCAAGAAGCACCTGGACGAATGCATGAATAGGAAAGGAATAGAGAGATATGGATCCTGTAAACAAAGAGCAAAGAACAATACAGCATAGGAACAGGCCCTTCGGCCTTCCAAGCCTGCACTGCCACATTTTGCCCTTCCATTCTAAAAGTGTAAAACTTCACTTCTATAAGTGAAGACAGTTTTAGTATGGAACAGCAAAATGTGACCGCGCAGGCTTGGAGGGCCGAAGGGCCTGTTCCTGTGCTGTAATGTTCTTTGTTCTTTGTTCTGAATCAAATCCGAGACTTCATTGAGGCTAATACACATTGCAATGAGTGGAAATTAAAATTACACAGTTCCTTTATCAGCAATGAATCTGCTAAAGTTATTTTTAATGCTCAAACAGCTCAAAGAAGTTGATGGAAAACTCAATTTTGAAATGAAACGGAGATGGAGTAAATGGGACAAGATGAATAAGGCCACATCTGAATTGGACTTACACAGTATCAGTTTAGCTCAAAAGGCATGAATCTGTAATCCACTTCATGGGAGATCAATTAGCTGGAATATATAAATATTTTTCATATTATTCATCCAATACTAATTTTCTTACTTTTTCATTAAATGATTATCAAAGAGTCTGGATTAGTTGGGATGAATATGTTGCTTTCATATGTTTTGATTTGTTTGTTCCCTGTCCCTTTCTAACTATTCACAAATGAGCTAGGTTCCCACACTTTGGATGCTGCATACATTGCATTCAGTTGGTTGTAATAATTATGATCTTCTAAGAATTTTGGTAATAGACAGTCATGTTTTGCATTTTGCTCTGATAAAAAGTACTTTTGTCTTTTCATTGATGTACAATGTGGATTATGCTCATTTTTTCATTTACTTTTGGACTTAATTTCTGGATTGATATTTTATACACATTATATGTCAAGGAATTGTGATTTTCGAGGCATGTTCAACATCATTAGAATATGAGTGACTGACCACATCCTTTAAAGAACTTAATAATAAAGAGCATGCTCACTTACTCAGTCTTCACCCATACACTTAGAGATGAAAATGCTGTTCTCAACTCTGCTGGGCTTTGTGACGATTACTTCTTTACTAATGCCGGGCTGTAAGTAAAAACGTAGTGTTTTGACTCTTTTATGCACTGGCTGGGAGATTTTGTTTTATTTGTCACAATACAAATTACATATTTGTATTTTTTGCATATCTGAATATTTATAATTACCTTCCTAAGTGTAAACATTATGAAAATCACAAATAAGATAAATTCATATGAGGTGCTGATAATTTCCAATATTTTATTCATTTATTTAATTTAAAGTATATGTTAGCATAGTGTATGGTTGGTGTAATATCTCTCAACACCTAAGAGTTTACATAATAGCCAGTTCATGACACATCTTACACCAATGTAACGGATTTTTATTTTTATTTTGCTGCTCAATATGTCTTGTACTTAGTTGTAAATTTACCAAACTGAAAGTGTTTTATAGTTTGACAAATAGTTTGATGCCATTTAGGGACAGGGAATAAGTGAAAAAAAAGGGTAACAAATACTGGCCCAGTCATTGATGCCCACAGCCTGAAGAAACCTTAAGGTGGCACAATTGCAATGAGCTGAAGCATTGTTTGAAATGTGCAAATCTAGCTTTTAGAGATGGTCTGGGTATTTCTCCCTGGTCGAAAATTCTACAGTTTTTGCCTAGTCGGTGAAGCAGAACTGATATGAATCTACAAACCTAGAATTACTTTAATCAAGTAATGTTTTGATGATTTGTCTATTCTATTTATACATTGATTGTATTTAATTAAATTGTCAAACGTATGAATTTTTGCTTTTGACGTTAATGTAACTGGGGAGGTGATGGCCTAGTGGTGTTATTGCCGGACTGTAAATCCAGAGACCCAAATAATGTTCTGGGGACCCAGGTCCGAATCACGCCATGGCAGATGGTGGAATTTGAGCTCAATAAATATCTGGGATTAAGAATCTAGTGGTGACCATGAATCTATTGTCGATTGTTAGGGGAAAAACCCAACTGGTTCACTAATGTTGTTTAAGGAAGGAAACTGCTATCCTTACCTGGTCTGGCCTATATATGTGACTCCAGACCCACAGCAATGAATAAGAAAGAACTACTGTTTGTTTTAGAGATAGTAGGAACTGCCGATGCTGGAGAATCTGAGATAACAAGGTGTAGAGCTGGATGAACACAGCAGGCCGAGGAGCAGGGAAGCTGACGTTTCGGGTCTGGACCCTTCTTGCTCCTGTGAGTGTGAGCTTGCATTATCAGCTTGACACTGCAGAGGACTGTCACTTGCAAGATTGAGTGCCAGATATCTCCATCAGGTACCTCGTGTGTGGTCAATGTCTGTCACTTCATTGCAGCTACCAACGTAGCACTACTTACACCAGAGTGCTTCTGCCTTTCACACATCTGATAGCGTTCACAACTCAAACCTGAAAGGAACTACAACATTCAGCAGCTCCTGCACCACCAGCTGACTGGTTTCTCAGCGCAAGGGCAACCTACACATCTGACAGCTTCTTACCAAATGCTTTCATGGGGCAAGAACACAATCACAAAATGTGTCTTTGGATTGTGAACCTCACAAAGTTATTGGTCACACACATCCATCAATTCTAGCATCTTGGCCACACAGGGCCACTTTTCATTCAGATCCCCTTAACTTATAACTTATCCATGTCACATTCTCTCCACCGCAGGTATTGCAAACAGACAATCACAGCTCTGGGGAATCTGTATCTACCAGTGTAGGCAAAATATTGATGTTTCTGAATGTTTCTCTCCTTCAGGAGAAGAACGTGTACAACCAGCATTAAGACAGGTTGTGGGGGCATGGGGTTGGGGGGTTGGGGGAGGTGGTTGGTGGGGAGTGGTGATTGTTGTCTGACATAAGGGTCCTTACCAATTTCTAGGAGGAGGCTACTGAGCTGGTGGATGAGCAAAGGCAAAAGGGAAGTTGGAAATGTGCAGCCATCGAGTGAAAAAGCCTCCAAACAGCTTCTACCAGCTGCACATCAAGCAACAACTTGTTAATGAAATAAAAACTGAAAATTCTGGAGATACTCTAATTTTTGGAGAAACAGAGCCAATGCAACAAGTCATACCCAACTCAGAATATTAGCTTTGCTTCTCTTTTCACAGATGCTGCGAGAACCATTGAATTCCTCAAGCATTTTCATTTTTATTTCAGATTTTCAACATCTGCAATACTTTGTTTTATTTAATGTGTTAATGAAACCTTGGTGAGGATGGTGTCTCAAAAGTCCTTGGAGATCTTTATGTTTGAATCTACAGCTTCCAGATCCTACTCCAGAGCATAGTCCAGATAAAGGTCACCCCACTCCCTCACCCCAGCTTTGCCAGTCCCAGAGTTAGAAGCTTCTTTAAATATCTTCTGGCTGCTACTTTCTCTGAATTTTCTCTTGATGTTTCTTCCTCCTGGATTGGAGAACTGCATGTGAGAATCCATGTCTGAATTTGCCTTTTTGTCAAGGGGTGTGTTTTGGGATCTTACTACATCAGAAAAGTTAAATAGTTATATTATCCATTAGTTTTCCACTAGATAAAAACCGAAAGAACTGCGAATGCTGTAAATCAGGAACAAAAGCAAAATTGCTGCAGAGGCTCAGCAGGTCTGGCAGCATCTGTGAACGAAAAACAGAGTTAACATTTCGGGTCCGGTGACCCTTCCTCAGAACTGTTCCTAATTTTCCACTAGAGTTGTTATTCTAAGTTCCTCTTTCTTTTTATTTTAACTACAATGTTTTAATAAATTGTGTTTTGCTTAATGCTGAGTAGTTTAACCAGTTACATTGCATCTGGAATGCAGCATTTCACATTTGCCTTTGAAATAAGACAAAGTTAGGGTCGAGGCTACCTTCTTAAAATATTTTGAGGGGGACTGGTCTGGTCCATGACAGGAGAAAGAAACGGTCGAGGTCTGTGACTTCGGAGGACTCCTGGAGAGCAGGCCCCTGCTGAGCCCAGTATCATTTACTAAGCATCTGGACTTGGCCAGTAAGGAGCTGACAGAAATGCAGAGACAAACAGGGAATCTCCAGTAGTGATGTCAGCAAAGAACAAAAGAGTTTGCCCAGATTCTGCCTGATGTCATGTTCCAGTATGCCAGCATGTGATTGGCTCCAGAAGCTCAGTGGTGGTCACTGGCAAGAGCCATGACCAACCCTCCCTCTCATCCCCGCCTTCTTGACCTGACACAACCTTCTTTCCCACCCATCCGCTCCTCCCACCTCACTGACCAATCCGCACCACTCCCCCCACCTCTCTGTTTATTTCAGAGCTCCCTTCCACTTCCCCCATTTCTGACGAAGGGTCCTGATCCAAAACGTCAACTTTCCTGCTCCTCTGATGCTGCCTGGCCTGCTGTGTTCCTCCAGCTCCACACTGTGTTATCCCTTTAAATCAATGCCATTTTGCTCTTTCTTCCTTCATTAAAATGTACTTGATTTTTGATCTTTGATTCTTTAAAATTTGGAAGTGTCTGCAGCTCTTTCCTCCCTCATAGAATATGTATTTGTTTATTTTTTTTTCCATTATCACCCATCTAGACAACTGCATGAAAATTATTGGAGGCCAGGAAGTGGCACCTCATTCAAAACCTTATATGGTATCTATCCAGATTGGGAGAAAACACTTTTGTGGAGGAACTTTAATCAAAGCTAGCTGGGTGCTGACAGCTGCACACTGCCAAGTGTAAGTTACAACAGAACATAATTTTTAAAAAGCATGCAGGCTGTGGCTAATAATATTACAAGCTACATTCTAACAATATCTATAAGCTAAAGAACAGGAGAAGTCCTATTGATTCTCTGAAAATATCAAATCACATAGTGGTATGCACAAGCCATCAATCACTCCTCCCTACTTTAAATCTTGGAAGCAGGGGGAAAATCTCACTGAAAACCTTTACCAGTTTAGGAAAAATCTGAGAAGTTTTTGCTGACAGGTGCAATAAAGGTATATCCAAGACAGTGCAAAAACAACTGCATTTATATGGCATCCATAATGAAACAAAATGTCCCAAAGTACTTCACAGGAGCATTGTGAAGCAAAGTTTAATACTGAGGGACATACCTTAATGCAAGGTCAGGTTTTTTTTAAAAATTCGTTCATGGGACGTGAGCGAGTATTTATTGCCCATCCCGAGTTGCCCTTGAAAGGTGGTGGCTTGCCAATAACTCAGACAAAAGTTAGGCTGGGTGGTGCAAACCAAGATTAACAGACAGAATTTCCAGAGCTTGGGGCCAGGCAGCTGAAGGCATAGTCTCCAATAATGGAAAAAATTGAGAATTCTGAAAGGGCCTAAATTAGAAAAGCAGATTTCTCAGAGGTTTTTGGGGCTGGAGAAAATTACCAAAATAGAGAGCAGTTAAATCTTGAAGGGACTTGAAAAACAAGAATGACTGTTTTAATGTCAATGGGTCACTTGACTGGCCAATATTGGCCAACAAGCATAGGATGATGAGTAAATAGGAATTGGTGTGACTTAGGACTCAGGCAGCAGACATTTGGAAGACCTTATATCCATGAAAGTTATAATGTGGGACTGGAGCTTGATGAGGAGGGCATTCAAACAGTCAATGTTGGAGGTAATAAGGAATGGATGAATGTTTCTGTCGCAGATGAGCTGAGACAGTGGTGAAGTCAGGCAGTGTTCAGGAGATGGAAGTAAGTGGTTTTAGCAGCTGTGTGGTCACTTAATGAGACACCAAGATTCCCAAGGAGGAGGATAGCATCAGTGTTTAAGGTAAACCCACGAATTTGCAAGAGATTACCAGTAAATGTAACCCTGAGGAACGATAGACAGTCTAAAAGTATAATCTTAGGCCAAGAGTAGAACTCACAGATATGGGAGCAGTTCGAGCAATTTTATCAATATCGTTCCTAAAACTTCCATCATGAAAATACTTTTACATGTTCTTTAGACAGATCATGTTTATAGCCACATGATTAGCTATTTCTAGAACAAAAACAAAGTTGCTGGAAAAGCCCAGCTCGTCTGGCAGCACCTGTGAAGGAAAGAAACAGAACGAATGTTTCGGGTCCGATGACCCTTCCTCAGAACAGTTCTGAGGAAGGGTCACCAGACCCGAAACGTTAACTCTGTTTTTTCCTTCACAGATGCTGCCAGACCTGCTGGGCTTTTCCAGCAACTTTGTTTTTGTTCCTGATTCACAGCATCCACAGCTGTTTTGGTTTATATTTAGCTATTTCTAGAATTGGCTGTGAGACTTCCCTAAATTGTCTAATTAAAAGGTGCTTGGTTCAAATCATTTTCAACAATTAAAATCAGCACTGTTTCTCTGGAGCAAAAACAAGAATTGTTAGAAAAGCTCAGCAGGTTTGGCAGCATCTGTGAAGAGAAATAAAAGTTAATATTTCAGGTTGACTGAGCCTTCCTCAGAACTGTTTCTCTGGAGCAGAATTTTAATTACATAGTTTACCAGTGCTACTATTCTGTAACTAGCCCATCAGAAATTGATGAAGAAATAAAGTGTAGTTGGTAGTTAAGATTGCTTTATAAAATTGTTTATACTTTGTGTGTGTTAAATTATGGTTGAATGACCTTGCCACCAACCCTCCATGCCTCAAGTTCCAAACTCTTCCTTGTTCATGAAATTTTGTTATCATTATATCCCTCCCAACATTTATAACCTTTTCAATCTTACAACTGTCTGAGATCTTTGCTTCCCTCCAATCCTAGCTTCTAGCACAACCTTTGCTCTATCATTGGCAGCTATGCCTTCAACCATTCAGGAATCCTTTCACAAAATACCTTAGCTTTTCTTTTCTCCTTCAACATGTGCCTTAAAGCACAAGTCTATGACCAAGCTTTTGGCCAACTTTCTTAATGACCCACTGGGTTAATGACAACATTTGTTTGATAAGGTTTCTGTTAATTGCCTTGGGAACTTCTACTACATTAAAGGTGCTATATAAATGCAAAACAAACCAATACCTGTCAAATTACAAAACTTATATGAGGAAGATGAATAAACAATATTGCTGGGTAAGAAACAAGAACTAAACTTAACATGATCAAAGTATAAGAATTACAAGCACATCTCCACTCTCAATCATAAAGAATATTACTGAAATGTGAATGTTCAAGCTGGTTGAGGGCTAAGATGAGGCCTGTAACTGGTTCCACTAACTTGTTTAGAATTGCATCTATACATATCCTTAAAATAACATTACACTATAGAGAAAACTGCTGTAGAATTATTTAGATTCAGTTGCATTTCATCTACACTACATTATGAAGTGAACAATAAAAACAGATCCATGTATGAGAAGGAGTTTTACACTGCATAATCAGCAAGGAGCACATTCAATGTGAGTGAGTGAGTCTGAGCTGCAGCCCTTGGGCCACATCACGGAAGTTACCTGGACACTTTGCTTCAGGTGGTAGTCACAACTCTCAGATAGGTCATTCAAAACTGGTCTGTAATCAGGGACGGGAGGGTATGACTGCAAGTGAGGTGGGCATTAGGATCTGAGGAGTTGCACTCAAGAGCTGTGTGAATGCAAGTTGGGTTTGCAGGGAGAAGGGGCAAACTGATAATTACACTGTGATGCAGGGAGCCATTCAATGGGGAAAGAACACAGGAATGTCGTTGTGGTAGGGGACAGTTTGATTAGGTGGACAGATATTTTTCTCTGCAATTATAAGTGGAAGTCCTAAAGGTTGTGTTGCTTGCAAGATGCCAGGGCTGAGGGTATCTCTCTGGGGCTGGAGACGAAATTGGAGTGGGAGGGAGGGATCCAGTTGTCACTGCCTACATTATTAATAATGACATTGATAGGACTAGAAAGGAGCTTCTAATGAAAGAATTTGAATAGTTAAGAGCAAAATCAAAAGCCAAACCTCCAAGTTCTAGATTATTATCTGAACCACAGGTAAACTTGCAGTTGGTAAATAAGTCAAGGAGTTAAATTGCTCAAAGGTTGGTGTAGGTGGAATGGCTTTCAGTCATGGGGCACTGGCACCAATACTGGGATAGAATAGAGCAGTTCCAGTGGGATGGACATCACTTGAACTATCTTTGGACCAGTGACCTCGGGGCTGGAGAAAGTAGGGCAGTAGAGAGGACTTTAAACTTGCTAGAGTGGGAAAGGCTTTGGAGAGGGGAAACATAGTCTTGCAAAACTAGAGGATATGGCAGCATTACAGGGTAGTTCAAATAAAAGCAAAGTACAGCAAATTTTTATTCTCTACTGGGATGTGGACATTACCGGCTGGACCAACATTTATTGCCTATCCATAATTGCCCTCAGAAAATGTTGGTGAGCTGACTTCTTGAACTGCTGCAGTTCATTTGCTCTAAGCAAATCCATAATGCCATTAGGGAGGGAATTCCAGTAGCACTGAAGGAGTGATGATATATTTCCGGGTCAGGATGGTGAGTGACTTGGAGGGGAACTTGCAGATGGCGATGTTCCCATGTATCTGCTGTCCTTTTCCATCCAGGTGGAAGTAGTTGTAGGTTTGGAAGTTGCTATCTAAGTAGCCTTGATGAAAATACGCAATACATTTTGTCTGCTGCTACTCAGAGTGGGTGCATTTTTTGCTGCATTTAGACTGCAATATCTTCACATCTAGTTATTGCATTACTCAACAGAGCAAGGATTCAAAATTCACTACAAGCATAAAATGAGTGAGGATGAACTCACATACAGACATGTTAAAAAGGTACAAGTGTGTGCAAGTTTCCTTTACCTACAGTTTGAGCAAAGGTATTAATCCAAGTGAATTCTTTTAGAAAAACAGAGAGCAAGACATTTACAAAGGAACACAATTAATATTTAGACCTTGATATTTTACACTGTAACTTTCACTCAAATGAAAATAACAGCAATTATTCTAAATGTCATTGACACTGTTTGATTCAGTCATCCACCTTCCAGTACCGTCTGACTGCAGAAAATGTTATTGAAAATAAATTATCTAATTATCTTTGTACCTGTTACAGCAAAAACAGTCAATTGAAAAATATTCGGGTAGTTCTTGGGGTTCACTCACTTTCAAAAGAAGAGAAGGAACAACAAGTATTTACCGTTAAAAGGATGATCCAGCATAGCTTGTACAACTCAAAATTATTCAAAAATGACATCATGCTTCTTGAGGTAAAAAAAAATGTTATTGCTACATATTTTTAATTATAATGTCCAGAAATTCTATAGGCACAGTCTGAGACCGGGGAGGATCCCTATACCTCAACTTGTGGCGCATCCAATACCGGGCCTCTGGTCAAGCTTAAATAAAAAGGACAGCATGGTGGTTCAGTGGTTAGCACTGCTGTCGCACAGCGCCAGGTTCAACATCAGCCTCAACCGACTGTCTATGTGGAGTTTGCACATTCTCCCCGTGTATGTCTGTCCTGTGTCAGGTGCCATGATTTCTTCCCATAGTTCAAAGATGTGCAGGTAGGGCGGATCAGCCATGCTAAGTTGCCCATCATGTCCAGGGACGTGCAGGCTAAGCGGGTTAGCCATGGGAAATGTAGGGTTACACGGATAGGGTATGGGGGTGGGTCTCGGTGGGATGCTTTTCAGAGGTTAGTGTGGACTAGGTGGGCCAAATGGCCTGCTTCCACACTGCAGGGATTCTAAGACTGTCGGCTGTTCATCACCTGCTGTTGGACATCCCGATGCAGTCTGCCAATCAAAAGCTGTTGAATTTCAATGCGGCCTTCAGTAGCATCAGACTGGTCATTGAATGATAAGTGGATGTGATGTTGAGACTTGGCTAGGATAAAAAGACAAGGAACATTTATGTAAGAGAGGAAACAAGGTGGTTCAGGAATTTGGTGGGACGTGTGATGCTCAGTGGCCAACAGCAGTTCATGAGATCCAAGAGAAACTTTTCTGTTGCTCCTGGTTGCTCACTCGGGGGAGTGTTTTTAACAAATGTAATATTTTGTTCTAGAAAACAGCTGCAGTCTATTTCAGGGTTACCAGTCAGGCTGCAGTGCAGTATTGGCTTTCCTGAATACAGGCAGACTGGTTCGTATATTCAGGGCTTTGTGCATTGTTTCTGAAATGGGCATTTAGCCTACGTTTTATTTTAGAAGCAGGTCCTAGATGCCAGTTTCTTTGCCTATGCCAATATATATCGTGGATGATAATGACTGCCTGTTGTTGCCTGCCTCATTGAAAACCCAGGCAGCTATTCTGAAAAACACCCGTCATGTTTAGCCTGTATAATGGTTAATTCCTTTCCTTGGGAAAAAAAGTGCTGTAGGAGAAAAGTTTTGAGATCCTTGCAACACAACACCCAGGCAGAGCTACATGGTGATTGGCTGCTCAAAACAGACTCAGCAACTACCCCTGTGCATTGCAAATAAAATAACCATCTATAGTAAATGCTGTGATTAAAAAATTGAATTGTTTTTTGAATGTACTCAAATGTAATTCCAGCTCAATGGCAAGGCGACTCTGAACAAGTTTGTGAATGTCCTGAACCCACCTAACACTGGAACTGATGTCAAAGATGGAGACATTTGTAATGTTGCAGGTTGGGGGTTCACCTCAGTTGTAACTGAAAAGTTTTCAGACACATTGCAGCAAGTGAATGTAACTGTCGTGGACAGGATGCTGTGTGCACAGTATTACACCTACCATCCTGCGATAACAGAAGATGTACTATGTGCTGGTGACAAAAAGGGAGCAAAAGATTCCTGCCAAGTAAGTATCTGTGATGTAAAAATAACCAAAATTCTAGATTAACGGATAAATGTAATAGAGTCATAGAGTCACAGAGATGTACAGCACGGAAACAGATCCTTCGGTCCAACTTGTACATGTTGACCAGATATCCTAAATTAATCTAGTCCCATTTGCCAGCATTTGACCCATATCCCTCTAAGCTTTTCCTATTCATATACCCATCCAGATGCCTTTTAAATGTTGTAATTGTACTAGCCTTTACCACTTCCTCTGGCAGCTCATTCCATACACGCCTCAGCCCCCAACACTGCAGAGAAAATAGCCCCAGCCTATTCAGTCTCTCCCTATAGCTGAAACCCTCCAACCCTGGCAACATCCATGTAAATCTTTTCTGAGCCTTTCAAGTTTAACAACACCACTCCTATTGCAAGGGGACCAGAATTGAACACAGTATTCCAAAAGTGGCCTAACCAATGTCCTGTACGTCTGCAACATGACCTCTTGATTCCTGTACTAAATGCACTGACCTGCAGGGGTGGGTACAATCCACTGTGACCAACAAGAGACATGACCAATTCTCACTGGTCTAAATGCACACAGACAAAGAAGGACATGAATTCAACTGGAACGACACATCCATAATAGCACAAGTCAAACAGATACATGCCAGGGAATTCCTGGGGGCCTGGCATTCCAACCGGAACTCCATTAACAAACACATTGAACTGGACCAGATGTACAAACCACTGAAGAACAAAACCGGAAGTATTACCAACCACCCCACCAAACTGAGGCATATAAACAACAAGCAGAATCACCGGAGACAAAAGATGATGTTACCTAGCAGGGTGATAAAATGTCTGCAATCAAATACATCGGCTCAGAGAGCAAGTCTGCAACCTCAATTATTGAAGCAGTGAGGGGACAGAAAGTTTACAGATTTTGCATCCAGTCCCACTGCTGTTCTCACAAATCAACACATTTAAAATTCTAGTTCTTGTGTTTAGTTCTCTCTCAATGATTTCATCCTTCCTACCTCTACTCTTCGCCAGCATTACAATGATCTCCATCATATTCCAATTTCTCAGTGCATTCTTTCATGAGGTCCTTTTCCTTTTTTCCGTTTACTTACACCATGAGTTCGATTGTCCAGATTCCACATTCTGTAACTGAAGTTTAAATGCTTATATATTTGCAGTTCTGTTTCATTTATGATGCTCTTAAAGAGTTAGCTATGCCTCTGAGTTGAGTCTACTTCAAAATTTGAATACATCATGATGAACAACCAATGAAAAACAATGCATTTATGTTGCATCTTTCCTGACTTTAGGATATTATTTAGCATTTTACAGTCAATACAGTACTCTTGCAGTGTAGTCACTATTGTAACACAGGCCCGTAGTGATGCTTTATGCAGGTAAATTTACTAAATTTCAAAATAATGGATGTGAAGCCATCCATTACCAGTGGATAGACTGCTAATAAACCAGACACATTAGTACAACACTGGATCTCTGTCCAAAATACCCATTATGAGAGGTTTAATAATCATTGTAGATATGTGAGTTGGCAGGAATCCATTCTGCTAATACTTGACATCCTGGTTTAAGCCAACACAGTGAAACATGCTACTTTTGGACATAAATGACCCTGCAAGCTAATATCTCAATATAGAAAATGCAATGTATCACAGGTCAAGATATTGCCAGCCAGGATATTAGTAGTAAATTAGAATGACATTCATATTTTAAAAATAAAATCACAGTTCCTTTATTTTTAGTTTTATTCAGGTCATCTTAAATAAGAGCTATCCCTTCTCACATTGACAAACCTGCAGCTGAGATTAAGAATCCAACTGTTTAAAATTTTCTTGTATTACTTTTATTTCAGGGTGATTCGGGAGGTCCACTGTTATGTAATGGAAAATTCAATGGAATCGTTTCTTTTGGATGTAGTTGTGGACGACCCCGAAAGCCTGGTGTTTACACACGACTCTCAAAGACATATCTTTCCTGGATTAAGAAAACAATTCGACACTGAAATATTCAGTGATAATTTGAGATTTAGTTGGCATCTTACTTGTCCCTTTTTAATTGCTGTAACTCAAATAGGAAAATGTAAATCTAGAATAGATCCGGAGTAATGTTATTTCCTACTCAGCTTTTGATTTTATTAATTTTTTTGCACCAGCTTTTTTCACTGGAGTATCGAAGTTCGAAAGGTGTCTTGGCGAGATTATAAAATAGTTTCATAAAATAAGTCAAATTAGATTGTTTCCATTCATTGGTAAGATGATAATGAAGTACCATACACTTAGAAGGACGATAGAAAGAATGAAAGAGGTTAGGAAAAATGTCTTTATGTGAATAGTTACTGAAAACTTTCTTAATTGCACCAATCGGTGCCCGCTAGCCCTGACCCCTCACAGTAATTGTCTGATTGACCCGGCACCACTACAAGCGTGTCCTCAGCAGTCAACTGTGCCCTGCAGCCAAAGAACATGGCACCACGTCAGCTGCCGTACCCGAATAATCCATTCCCCTCTTCCACTTACATACTTAAGGTAATTGATCCACAATGTGGCCATCCAGTAAACCAGCACATTATCAGGGGCCAAGAAAGCAGAAATTCTTCATGTAGCGATGTCCCTCCTCAGCTCTGTCCTTTTGGCAGTTTGGTCTTGTAAAGGACCAGCAGCGGTCCCATCTTTCTCAAAGTCAACCGCAAAATCCTAAAATTGACAAAGAACATGTGTAATCAAATTTATAATATGTTTCAGTGAGCTCTGAAATGGGAATTCAGTAGAGCCCTTGAACAAATGCAAGAATGTTGCTTAGAATTTCTATTTTTACAGTAGATTCCATATATTCTTTGTAAAAGGTAAGAAAGGAAAGGGTTGCTTGAAAAATTAAAGTAGCTGCGTAAAGCCTACTGCCATTTTCTAGTTTGGTTCTCACCATTAACATTTCAACTGGGTATTTCTTTTATGCTAAGGCATACATTTGACAATAGGGCCCTAATAGCACTTGAAGTGCTACTGAATTGGGCTCTGAATCTGTCCAAAGCACACTGTCTGAGGCTTCCCTTCCAGGAATTTGGCGCAGTGGGCTGTTTAAAGGAGTCCCAAGAGTTCAAGATGTTCACAGCACAATCCGATAGTGTCAGATATATTCAATTCTCAACTTGCCTGCTGCCTGCCTGAAACCTGTTCCTAATTAAAATTCCCACCTCACCATAATTACTTAAAATTGAGGAAATTTACAGGACCTAGGGAGCTAGCAGGAGAGTCTGCGAAGAAGTTCACTTTATCCACATGTCATCCACAATTATCTACCGATTCCAGGTGCAGAAGTAAAATCTTTACCACAGTGCATTTATCATGATGAGGTTACATATTTCACTCATTAAAAGTACACAGTTTGCTTGCACATTAGATAGAATTGACTCCAGTTAATTATCTGTTGCTTGTAAGCTATTGCATTGTAAGGTGTTGTGCTGGAGCTCTGATATAAATTGTTTAAAGTTGCCAAAATGTTATTATACAGGAAATAAAATGTGATCTTTGTAGCTTAAAATGTTTTCTTTTGAATTCCATACACCAGCAGCTGAAACTTACACTCATACTAGCACTGGCTGACAATATCACCTTTGTACAGTATGATCTACTGACTAAAGTTAATTAAATCATAAATGCAATTTTTGGGTCCTAGAGGCCACAGACTCATAGCTGAAATTTTTAAGCAGGTAAAAGCCTGCGCCCAGATTTAGCTCTGGGCAGGAAGGCTGATCTTGGGTCTACCTGACCCACTGCCTTTTGAGTCCTTAAGCCATCAGTTAATGGTTTTACTCTTTCATGGGATGTAGGTATCACTGGTTAGGCCAGCATTTATTACCCATCCCTAATTGCTCAGATAGCAGTTAAGAATCAAGCATATTGTTGTGGGTCTGGAGTCACATGTCAGCTAGACCAGGTAAGGATGACAGTTTCCTTCCCTAAAGAACACTAGTGAACCAGATGGGTTTTTACTGACAATCATCATTAGAGTCTTAATTCCAGATTTTTACTGGATTCAAAGTCCACCAAATACTATATAAAAACTGAAAGAACTGCAGATGCTGTAAATTAGGAACAAAAATCCCACCAAATGCTATGGTGGGATTCAAACCCAGGGTCCCAGAACGTTACCTGGTTCTCTAGATTAACAGTCTATAAATAATGCCATTAGACCGTCCCATCCCTTTACAGTAGCATGGGTTTCTTCAGGATATGAACCCAGGACTTCATGGATATCATTGCCCAACATCTCCAAAAGGGGGACCATACTGTTAAACCAACAAACCAATAGCAACGTAAGGGCCTCTTCTTTGCTGGACTGCAATGAACACAGTTCCAAGTAAGACAAGATAGAGTCATGTTGCCTGACTGATAAACCAGTGCAGGATGATGGTCAGATGTGGAGTGGAGTCAAGGAACTGGACATGGGTAACAGGGTTGCTTTGGAAGTGGGGCGGCCACCTCCCTGCCCTTGCTATTGCACCACCTGCCACATCTAGCCCAAGCTGCTGCAGCACCCTCAAACCCCTCCATCTGAAAAAACAATGGAGAAATGCATCTGTATCTTGTACACTACAATCTGCCATTGCAATATGATCTCTGATGCATTTGCTTTCTGCTTAAAGGCATGATACAAGAAGTCATTAAGCAGTACTTGGAACATGATGCCAGCTGATGCCAATGTGCAGCTGCAGTTATGTGAATTTTCAAAAAGAAACAGCAAGGAATAATTAGAAATTCAGTCTGAAACTCTGTGCTGTTTGGTGAGTCAGTATGACTGTGAATTTTCCAGTACCTGAGCCTGTAGAAGTGGAATCTGATTTGAGATACAACTGAAATATCAAATTCTCAAAATCATACAATGACCCCAGAGTTAAACTGAAAGCTGAACACAAAAGTACAGCAAATCTTTTGTTATCAGTGCTGGGGAAAGACTGATATAAGCTACACCCTAGACCTTACTGAGGAATGGAAAAACCAAACTGAGGAAATCTTGCAGCCCTTTAAGATCTCTATTAAATCCTTCACTGATGTTATGTATGAACAATTTGTGATTAACATCCAAGCTATGGAAAGAGAGGGAGAATATTGATGAGTATGTGATTGCACTGAGATTTCTAGCTAAATCTTGGGAACCTGAAAGATCATGAAAGATAGAATTGTCTTAGGACTATGATCTTTTACCGTGAGAAAAATAGCTTACTTGCAAGAAAGCTTTTTTAAATTCATCCATGGGACGTGTGCATTGCTGGCTAGACCAGCATTTATTGCCAATCCCTATTTGCCCAACAGACAATTAAGAGTCAGGTATGTGTGGGGAGGCTATATGTTTCAGTTTCAATCAAGTTTCCTCACATACATCTAAATTCCACCCAGTTATAACACTAGCCTATTCAACCTTTCCCATAAGACCTCTCAAGACAAGTATCAGCCTAGTAAAACTTCTCTGAACTGTTTGCAATGTATATGCATCCTTCTTTAAATAAGGAGATAAATATTCTACGCAATATTCTCGATGTGGTCTCACACCAATGCCTGATATATCCGAAGCATAAACTTTTACTTTTGTATTCAACTCCCTTTATGATAAATGACAATATTCCACTAGCTTCCCTAAATGCTTGCTGTAAATGCATCTTAACCTTTTATGATACCTTTGTGTTTCAGAGTTCTGTAGTCATTCAACATTTAGATAATATGCTTGTTCATTATTTTTCCTGTCAAAATGTCACATTTTGTTAAATTATATTCCAGTTGACATAACTTTGCCCATGCATTTGACCTATCTATATCCATCTGTAACCTCCTAATACCCTCTTCATGAGTTACTTCCCTATCTATCTTTGTGTCAACAGCGAATTTAGCAAACATACCTTTCATCCTTTCCATCCCTTCATTAAATTAATTTATCTAAATTGTGACAAGTTGAGGGTCTGGCATTGATCCCTGTAGTACACAATGTGTTACTACATCTTGCTAACCAGAAAATGACCCACTGTGCCAACTCTGTTTCATGTTAACAGGTTAATCTTCTCACCATGCCAATCCCAGAAGAAAAAGCAAGTAAAACTGGTAAATGAGACGTTCTGATCTGACTCATCTTGTGCTTTCCAAAATAAAGGCCCAGTATGACCTGTATGATCATTTCCAAGTTGGGTTTTTGGTCTGAAATATATTACCACCGACAGTAAGTTTTATTTTCTGCAACAACGTTTGGTGTGGTTCTGACTTGTTCTGGAAAGTCTGAAAAATCATGTCTGACTTGTAAGATGGTTTATATACTTCAACAAGTAGTATTTTTAACAAGTCAATACTCTGCTGCCACACATTAAGTTGAAGAGAATTCTGCTGAAAGATTGTAATTTTACAATTACCTAAGTATAAATGTCTAAGTCTTATGTTTTATCAAATCATGACCTAAATACTATGTCGCGTTGAATGTAAAGTTAAGAACTGATTGTTGCAAAAGGGCAGATGGTGAGAGATGAAACAACAAGATAAAGAGCCACGTGACCATAATTGTCACAGAGCTGGTCAAAGAATACTGAGAACGAGGAAGGTATGGTCACTGAAGTCTCATTTGTGGCTCAGTAAAGGTATGAGGCTGACATGCAACCTTTGGTAAATTGTGAGCAACAAAATCAAGTAGCATTAAAAGAATAGGTGACAGAGAAATTGTAACCAAAGTCAGGAAAAATGCCTGGTCAGTCAATACATGTTGGAAAATTCATTAGCAGACCAACTACCTGTGAAAAGATCCAGCATTAAGGAAATTTAACAACCAGTAAACAATTAATTATTGGAATATTGCAAGTTGCTATATTTGGAAGAAGTGCCCAGTAAATAGGATTTCCGCATATGGTAGAAATGACACTCGTCTTTTCTGTTCCCACTACTCTGTCATTTTAAGTAGGGGGTCTAATTGATGAATTGGGGAACACTTGAGGATCCATTTTACCTTTGAACATTTCAACCCAGCTTCT